GCATCACCATCATCATCATCATCATCATCATCATCATCATCATCATCATTGTAGTTATCATTTATATTTTAAAGAAATTATTATTGAAATTTATTGTCCTATGTAAACACCGTCATAATCATATTTCCCCAGGTGTAAGCTCACAGTCCTAGAACTCAGAATACAGTCAAGGCTGCCACTATAGACACGTCATTTCTCGTGGTGATCTCGGCATTTCCCTTGTGCCATGGACACGACAGAAGCTTACAAAACAATTGTCAAACATGTAATAAATGTGTGTGAGCTCAAAAGGTGTTCACAATTGCTTCCGACTTTTTCTGTAAACCTATGACAATGTATAGATTTAACACCCTTTTCGACACTGTTATGTTATTTACGAGACATGATCTCAGATTTTAACGTCCATCTACGATGGGACAGAGCGAAACAAGAGGGGAGAGTTAAAAACTCTCCAAAATAACCCAAGTTCAGAAAACATTATAATTTGATGATTCGAACCAGGGCTGTCCGCATCATGGTTCAGCTTAATTCCGACTGAGCCAACGACACACCCATTCCCTGTGCCTGTTGTGATCGAAAGATTCATTTGTTTTACACAGGGATCGGGATGAATGGCTAGAATGTCAGTAAAGTAAGTTTACACTCAATCAGTACTATGCTACTTCTCTTTGAAAAAGGTAGCAAGGATTTTGGGATGATAAGATATAATAATTCTGATTACAATTTCCAAACAGAAAATTTAATAGATCAAAGGGTACTAACGTATTCAACATGATATAATAAAAGGTTGATTTCAGCTTCTAAGGACACTACTAGGCTTGGTTAGAGTTTGAATTGAACAAAAGTGCTTGAAAAGATGCAAACGCAGGTTATATATTTTAAAAGAAGCGTTGTATGTGTACACAACTAGGCAGTCAAAAATGAATACGTTATGAGCAAAATTTAGAGAGTAGCAACCGACAGATCAAGGTACTATAAAAATAGTTAGGGCGAAAAATACGGAATAGGATGATTCCACCTTCTCATGACATCTTAGCTCAGATTGAGTTCAATCAATACACGAGTGCGTATAAAGATGTACAAATGGGTTGTAAAACCAGATGATAGAGTTTAGCCCATTAATTTGTGGCCTCTCAAAATTTGGACACAACATACTTTGGACACCAAATAAAAAGATTCAGGTCACTTTCGCGTCAGTTTATAAAAAAATTGACTTACTTTTGATGCCACCAAAAGGTTGATCCAATAATGGAACACTATACACAAGAAGGTGTGTGTTTTGGGGTTTTGCCATGAGTAATAATACGCGTTCAATAAGTTGAAATTACAACTTAAACGATAAGCAACGTGGTGAAAATGGCTACTGTACTTAGACACAAAATAAAAACACACAATGTATTTGTCGTGAAAATAAAACATTTGGAGTAAAAATGTGTGTTTAAAAAATAAAGTATTTCAGCAACGGACACGTTTTTTGCTCAATGTCCAACGTTACTGAGTGCAGCGTGTCTTGCTTCTTGTTTTAGTTCTATTCAAAACTTCCTTTGGCTTTCCTCCTTTTCTGTTGATTCTGTTTTCAGCAGCTTTCATTCATTTGTTTATATTCTGAATGGGTCTCTGTCTGTTTCTAAGGTTTTCTCTCTGTCTTTGTCGCGTGTTGTTCTGTGGAGTTTTCTCTGCTTTGCTATTCTACAAACTAAAGTGTTCTTTACAGGTATCGTAGGCAATATCCCCAAATACCTCCAGACGTGATTGTCATTGCTGTTACCCAGCTCTGCCTACAGTGCTCGAATAATTGCAACATCAAGCTTTCGCAGGATATTTTTTTAATTAACCGAAGGAAAGTGCGTGTTGACCTTCCAGCTTGTGACACCCTTCCATCTTCCTCTTTTTGATCTCCACAACACTGGGGACTTGATCCTGGGCTTAGCTTTGTAATGTCTGACGTATGGGAACAGAACGCTGTTGTTGAGAGCCTTTGTTCGGTTGCACAACCCATCTTTGTCCCATGAATCTTTATACCTCTCTATGAGCTGAATATCCGCCCGCGTGTGTGCAGGTAGTTTATGTGCTGTTATGTCGCTGTCAGCATCACTACAACATTAATTTCATTTACTGAAGACTGTATTGTGAAGATACATGGAGTGAAAATCATTCTGCATCTTTGTGAAACATTAAGAGACCCAAAGGACAGAGGATTAAAGGTAGAACTTTAAAAAAATCCCAATTCATCTGGTGACTATTATTTTGCAAATCATAGTTTTAACACACTTATCAACACTTTAGTAACATTTTAAAGCTATGTAAGAGATCGGACCTTCGAATTCAAGGACCGTCCCTTATATGACAAAGAAAATCCCCTACCCCTTAAAAACAAATTCAAGCGTTATACCAACTGACTTAACAGCACGCCCATGGTAAGCTTAGTAGTTTCGGCAAGTTTTGTTCAAGCATATTATTAAGATGTTTAAATGCATGTTGCGGAACACGTTTCATCAAGTATGTATGTTTGTGTTTGCATGTGGTCATGGTGCTAGTCGGCCGGGGGAAAGGGGCATCATCGAACTTATAAAAATACAAATAACGAGGAATAATGTTATTGTGTACTTTCAATTGAATATAATTAAACCAAAGCTTTTAAAATACAGTCCTTGAAAAAGAAACAATAACTAAAGGGACTTAAATAGAAGATAATGTATTGTTATAATCATAAAATATACAGGTCAACCGTTTGTTCTGAGAATTATCATAGAACAAAGCAAAGAATAGAATGTCCCAATTATCTTGAACTTTGTGGACTTAAAAAAAACTTTGACAGCATTGACCGGGAGGCCCTGTGGATAAGTCTTGCAATTAATGGCATCCCAGCAAAAATACTAAACTGTGTAAGATCATTATACGCCAATGCAAGCTGTTGAGTCCTAGTTGAAGAAGAAATGTCATCACTTGTACTTTTTGGAATTGTGGTCGATTTTGTAATGAGAAAGAGTAAATACATTGAAACAGGCATTGGGTGGAACAAATGGCACATAGTTAGGAGATCTGGATTTTGCAGATGACATCTGCCTTTTAAACACCACAATACATGAAAAGCAATAAAAATCAGACGAACTAGCAAAAGTAGCGGATAAACGTTGGCCTTATAATAAATGTATCCAAAACAGAAGCACTACGACTATCATCAGAAGCTACGCTCATCACTCTTTGTTGAGAACCCCTTGCAGAAATTAGTAAATTCAAGTACCTTGGCAGCATTATATCCAAAACTGCTGATTGACGACGTCCTCCAAAGACTTAAAAATACATGGGTCGTTTTTGTGAAATTAAAAACTATATGGAAGTCAAATATCATATAATTGAAGACGAAATTAAATATATATATAATAGCAATATTTTGGCTGTGTTGAAGTAGTATGGTTCAGAGATATGGGAAACGAACAAAACAATTCGACGAAAATTTAAAAGTTTCCAAACAAAATGTCCACGAAGAATTTTACTAATAAAATTGAATGAATTTATTGCAAATAATGAAGTGTTGGAAAGAGCTGGAATTGAAGATATCAACACAACAATTAAAAAAAGAAAAGATTTAGATATCTGGAACATGTTCTGAAAATGCCAAGGACGAGATTGCCATATCAGACGTGGCATTGGAAACCAACAGGAAAGAGAAAGAGGGGAATACCGACTGGAAACTTAGAGGCACAATAAGATATGAGGCAATCACCCAGGGCCTAGATATGCCGAAATTGGAGAAAGTGGCATGGGACAAACAAGGGTGGCGTCGATTGCTCTCCGCCTTATGTACCTGACGGTATACGAAAAGAGTAAGGAAGTAAGGAAGGAAGCAGGTTATAATCATTAAAAAGCACCAAAAAATGCACCTAAATTCCAATAGCTTTTGTGAGGCTGTTTTCGTGCTGGTCGGGGGGTTTTACTTGTAGCCGCCATCTTGGAAAAAGGGCATTGTTCTGGGAAGTTGACACGTTGATTTCAAAGCAGATACAGTGCACTATTGTTTTGTTCTGAAAATTTCGTTCCAATTATTGTATCACTTTTATAGTAAAAATAAAACTGCATGATCCATTAATAGAACGCTATGCAGGAATGGGTCAGTTAAATAATATTATCATTATGCTTCCAAAGATGCACACGCAGGTTATAAAAACTGCTGCAGATATGTTTTAGTTGTTTTCAGTGAACATACACACACTTAGGTTTTATAATAAACTGAGGGTGTAACGAGGATTATAAAAAAAAAAGGTTAGTTACATAAAAAAATACAGGAGACACAATTTGGTTTGGGGAAAGTTCAGTCAGCCCAAAAGTGCTTGAAAAGATGCACAACTGGATTGTAAAAACATCTGTTGATTGTTACAACTAGACAAACAGAAATATTCATACATTATAATCAAAACTGGGTGTCCTGAAAGACATATCAAAGTACTAAAGTATTATACTGATAAAAAAGGGAGCTTCCACATTTTCAGGACACTAATAGGCTTGGATAGAGTTAATCGAGTTAAAAAATGCTTACAAAGATGCACAGGTAGACTGCAAAAGCACGTTGGTTGTAACAAAAAAAAACCCAACAAATTAAAAGATCATAACTAAAAGTGAGAGTGTAGCAACCGACATGACAAGGTATTTAGTTTCATAAGATTATATTTTACAAGATTGATTCCAGCTACACATTATACCACTAAGCTTGGATAGAGTTTATTCAGTTCAAATGGTATTAGATCTATACTTGTAAAGACGCACACGTAAGTTATGAAAACAGGCAAAATATTTTGTTTCGAATGTTAAAACTAAGAATCCATAAAAATTAATAGACTATAAGTCATACTGAGAATATAACGACCGACATATTAAGGTATTGACGTATTTAGTATGATAAAAGACAAGTTTATCATAATAAAACTTGGCCTGGATCGAGTTTTTCAGCACAAAGGTGCCTGTAAAGATACAGACGTAGGTACTAAAACAATTGTGTTACTACAAGGTGGAATCAGGCGCTCGTCAATGTTTATGCACCTGAAGTTATTGGTATCATCTTAAGAGAAAAAAGTGGGGG